TATTTTTTACATATCCCTTATGCTCATTTAAGCAGTATTTTAAAGTTGCATCTTTTTTAAAGTTGTAAATTTCAGATGAGAGCCATACAGGTGCACAGATTCAACAGGAATCATCTCATCTCCACAACACATCCTCCTTGCACAGTGCTCCCCCCTTGAGCACATTGTTTAAACCAAAGGCACATTCTTGATGAGGCAAATACACACACTGTAACTGGTGAGGTAAGATGGGTGGTTCTGTAGACAAGTGCATAAAATCTCATATACTGCAGTGGAAGGTAAAGATATAGATATTGCCTATCAAACTTGTGGAAGACCCAATCTCAACAGTAGGCAATGAGCAGGGACAGATGGGCTGAACTCTTGCTGTTATTCCCTACTTGATACAGAATTTTGAATAAAGTATTTCATGTGAGACATTGGCCACCCAGTGGGTTCCTGGGTCTCTCGCTTTTTCTTTTTTCACATCCTCATCTGCAGGATTACACTCAGAAAAAGTTAATTCCCAGAGGTAAGAGAAATCATGAGATAACAAACTTGATGAGAAGTAGGAATAAAAAAAAAAGTGTCATCTTTCAAAGAGGTATAGACAAGCAGGATGAATTGTTTAACCAGTTCATGCAGAAGGCACCTAAAGCAAACATTAGATCAGCATCTCCTACAAGCAAGGAGAAGAAGAATGTAATCTTAAGGAAAAGATTACTCAGAGATCAGGTGCCCATAGGTTCAAAAGGAGAATTAAACAGACCAAGGGGATGAGTAATTGGTAAGGGCCCTAAATAGATCTTTAATAACTGGAGAATAAGAATGACCAGAGAAAAGACAGAAGGTCACAGACTAGGTTGCACTGAATTCACAATTACAGAAATGGATACTGTTCTTAAAAGCCAGGGGGAAAAAAAGAAATGAGATGAAGAGTCAGATAAACTGAAGAAAGGAAGTGACAGATATAACACTGTTTAAATAACAATCAACCTGTGCTTAAAAACTGCAAAGGATTAGTGGCCAACAAGAGTTAGTCAAAAAAAAAAAACAATGAGCAACTATATATATATATAATAATAATAATGAATACAAGACTAAAGAGGTTATAATGTCAACATATAGCTCATTGGTTAGGCTACAGTTGGAATACTGTGTTAAATATTGGGTTTCTTACCTAAGAAACGGCATTGTAACATTTGAAAGGATTCACAGAAGGGCTACTATGATGACACTTATAATGAAAAGTTGTCATGCTAGGATAGGTCAAGATTTTTGAAATTGTTTTCTCTTTAAAAAAGGAGAGTGAGAAGGATTCTGATTGAAGTGTTTAAGATTGTTAAGGGAATTGGTAGTGTTGATGCTTCACCTTTTTCATATTTAATGGTGAAAATGGTAAGACTAGAAGATGCAAATAAAATTTTCCAGGGAAGGAGACATTTTTTAGCTAAAATAACTATATTTTTCTAACAGGTTAGTTGGATTTCACATGTGGTAAATGCAGTTAATTTTAGGTCACTTAAGAGAGAGTTTGATAAGTATTCAACTGAAAAAGGTTGGCTTTGTGTTTCATTTTTATCTTAGAGTTTAGTGTAGTGGATGAAATGACCTAGATGAGCTCTTGTTGTCCTTAAATTATATGTACATATTACTAGTAAATGTAAAAGCTCTCAGCTCATCATGTTTGGCAATATCTCTCACTTGATGCCACGTCTAAGTAGTGAGCTTCCTCACTAACAGAAATAGCTTAGTGTGCAGGTGTTAATATGCTTCAAGTACTCATGTTTTTACATGTTGCAACAAATAACAATGGCATGTTCCTTTCAAAAATCTTGCAAATGGCCAAGTACTTTCTTTGTAAATGTGCACAATTATCAATCTACTCTATGAATGAGTTCAACTTTTAAACTCCACACAATGTTCATTGTCCAAGTGGTCCAATACCAGAAAATATCAAGTTGTTTTCAGAAAGTTTGAAAAATTAAAAGTTATTACACATTTATTGAATTTTTTCCCTACAGTTTGTTGAAAACTGTGGCTTATTTTCTCTTGTGGATAATATTAATGTATTAAAGTATGTATTTGTATATACAATTTAAAAAAGATTTCTTTCACTATATTCACATCTTACAAGTTCAACAATGCCCATTATTATTCTAAAACAGAAAAATGAACACCTTACAACCTTTATATTATTTCTTTAATTTAGTTAATTTGAAAATTATTTTATCTATTTGGATTCACTTCACATGTGCATACATAGGCAGAAAGAAGCATGTAAAGCAATAAGAATGGTGTGTGCACCTTGAAGTAGTTAACAGTATCATCCTGAATACTAGTATCTTAAAGATTCATCATTTCAAAATAAGAGAACCAAAAGTTTCTTTTTCTTATTATTTTGTTCATAGAGTATAGCTTAAATAATCAAAAAATTCACTGGTGTGTTTTAACAATAGAGTACATAATAAATATTCTTTGCAGCCATACTTGTGATTTTGAATTATATTACATATGATGGGAAACCATTTATAAACTCATTCTAAAAGATCAATATGGTTCATAAATATTTATTATAACAAAACATTGAAAAATAAAGTTGTTGACTCACTTCATCATAGAAATATGTTTACTACACAATCTCAATGGCAAAGCATCAAAATTATTTTATCTATTTGGATTCACTTCACATGTGCATACATAGGCAGAAAGAAGCATGTAAAGCAATAAGAATGTTTTTGTATTCATTTCCTTTGATGCAGAATGTGGTCAACATGGAGGATATATGTGCACAAATGAGAAGAATGGCATGTTTTTACTGCCAAAAGAGAAATCAATTAATACAAGGACCAACTGCACTGCAGAAGTCAGTTTCTGATTAAATAATACAGATTCCAAGTAACTATTGGTAGAACGAAGCATCAAGAAAGGCTTTCCATTCTCAAAAAGTCTGGAAAAAATATTTGCTGACACAAAGATGAAACTTCCCAACAATGCTCTGCCCTCAGGAAAACCAAATGTGCTTTGTTCTCCACAGCTTGTTAACCTGCTGTAATCCTATACTGCAACAATATCCTTATAGAATGGAATAATCCTCAACACTCTAAACCTAAAGAAAATATGTGACACAAATGCTATTGTTGAAAACTGGTTCAGGACAATGAAGAAGGTGGCATTGAACGACAAATTCCATCAAAGACCAAGGGATTTTTTGCAAGTCATGAATGTATTTGTACCAGAAAGAATACCAGGTATTGCACTGAATTCACTAAAATCCAACATACAAGTCTCACATCGACAACTAATGTCTATCTTGATGAGGAAGATGCAGCCCAGAAAGAGCCTCTCAGTCAAGAAGATAAATAGCAGAATAGAAAATCCAAACAATAAACAAACAAGGGAAATACTATCAGTTACCTGTAACAGAACCTGCAAGGCAAAGCACAACTTCCACTTGCCCACCATGGTCTAGGAAAAACAAACTTGGAAGAACATACAGTGTTCAAAGAAATTGTGACTTCTGGGCATAATTCTTTTACCTTAGAATTAGTTTGAGCTTAATATTATGTTTTCTGATAATTATCCAACTACTGTTTCAATTACTTTAGCTAGTGACAACAGGAACAACCAGTGAAAAAGGATTGGGAAAATGCAGGATCCTAATAGTTCAGGAGACTTCCTTAAAGGCAGGATAGAGGTCTTTATTCATAAAAGCCTTTAAAGCAATTTTCCAGCTTTTTCTAACATAAAAAAGATGCTCAAATAAACTTTAAAATAAAGTCTGTGTAGTCCATTTTTGAATAAAACTGAAGACATAACAGAACTTATTTCAGAGTTCATGTTTAGGTCTAGTTGTACAGCCAGTACATGAAATTTTATAAAAAAGTCTTATTCTTTGCAAGTCTTGTAATATTTTGTATCAATAGAAACATGAAATGATGAAAAATGCTGAGCAAGAAGTGACCCAAAATAAGTTAATCCCTTAAAGTTCACAATAAATATGGGGCTTTTAGAAAGAAGTTGGCATGTGTGTAAAGTTTATCCTTTGTTGTATGGATAAACATTGGGTTGGGCTTTATGGTACTGATTGTCATACAAACAATATCTCCCTTCTATAATATACAGAGAAAGAAATTGTCCAAAATAATTAAACCACATAAATCAAAGAATAAGTATACAACTTTCAGAAATGGGTTGGCATATATTCCATATTTACCCTCAATTTTACCTATGAAAACCACCTTGGGCCAGGCTAAATGTTACTAGTTTTTGTAGAAGACATGTTCCTCTTCACCTTCAAGAATATGCAGAGAAGAAAGTGGCCCAAAATAATTTCACCTCTTAAATTCGTAAGTTAGTGATAAGTCTCAACCTATGCAAATAAGAAGCTGCGCGAATAAAAAGTTGTGAAAAAGAAGTCAACTGTAACCCCGTGGAGAAACCCCTATTTGGAAGTGAAACCTTAACAAAAGCTTACTAGAAATGAAATAAAAAGTAGGCTTAGAAGTTACAGTTATACCATTCCTAGCTCTGCTAGTACTAATAATAGTAGCAAGCAGTACGTATTAACAATAACAGCCTTTACACATGCCCTCTTCAGATTTGTGCGACGGTACATAGTAAAGACAATTTCCTTCGATATTTCAAGAAATACTAAAATAAGTTAAACAAAGTACATCCCTAATAGTAATACGCATATAAACTTTCGCATCTGAGTTGGCTACGTTTTCGCGAGGAAACTAGAGATCTAAAGTACTCAAACGTCGATATTAGTACTATTTCACACATAACACTCTCACACTACACATCTTGAAATATCAATAAAAACAACCTGTAGTCCTATGCCAGAACAAGCAGTATTTCTCTAATACACATGCGCAATAAACATCACAATACCTAACTGAAAAGGCTTGTGAGAAAAGGAAGTACAAAGTTGGTCGTATATTGGAAACACAGAAGACCGTCCCTTTTAATGACAAACGAGATACTGAAGATTGAAGAAGCTATAATCTACAAGTAATTGTTGTATGATTTTCGCGCAAAGCTACTCGAGGGCTGTCTGCGTTAACCATCCCTAAGTTAGCAGTAATAAAGTAAAGGAAAAGCAGCTAATCAACACACCCACCGCCAACTCTTGAGCTACTCTTTTACCAACGTATAGTGGGATTGATCGTAACATTAAAACGTCTCCATGACCGACAGAGCGACCATGTTCGGTGACAGGGATTTGAAACCGCAGATTGTGAGTCGAACGCCATAAGGTCCATTAGGCTACAAGTAAAACTGCAAGAAATGCGGTCTTTTGTGACCTATTAGATAGTAAAGAAGCAGTTAGAAATACTGCACTATCTTTGTGTTACAGTGCAGCATACTTTTATAATTTTGGAGACAGTTTATGGGAAGAGCGGCATTTTTACATTAATAGTAAGAAGTACAAAACGTATAATTACCTTATACATTATTACTAGTATTAGTGGATGAAAATTTACAAAAGTATTCTATATTATAACACAGAAAGACAGCAATGCTTCCAACTGCATCTTTATTACCTCACAGGTTACACAAATAGACTGCAATATTTTTCTTTTTATTTGTAGAATAGCTTCTTCAAATTCGTCTATCTTGTCTGTCATAAAACAGAATGGTATTCTTATTTTCCATTTTACGACCAACTTAGTACTTCATTCTGTCAAATAATTTTGTCTAGATTTTTGTCACGTTTTTTGCACATGTTCGTTAGTGCAGTACTACATGTATTAAGGTTGTCTTGAGATGTTTCAAGATGTCTGTTAGTGTTTTGTGAGAATCGTGTGTGAGGTCGCGAAATATTTATCAGAGACTTAAGTATTTCAGAGTTCTTGTCGTGAAAGCAGAGTCAACTCAGGTGTGTAAACTGTAACTGTAGGCTTATAAATACAATTTATATAAATTATAATCATGTCACTGTTACGCTGCGTTAGGGATGTGTTGTATTGAATATACTTTAGTATTTCTTGAAAATCAAATAGAGCTATCTCAAATATTAACATTTTAGTTTTTAGACTGTTACTGTCAGATAAGTTAAACTATTACTATTTTTAGGAAGAATAATATTCATTACAACTTACAATTATAGGTAACATGGAAAATGCTGTTCTGTGTTCATTCGAAATATTGTCTGATGTCGGGAAGTAATTTTATGGACAAATTACAAAAAAAAAAAAATGCCAAACTCATTATTATTTGTAAAAGCCTTCAAAATGAAATAAAAGTTAAAATAGAAAAATTAGGGAAGAGGAATATGACTTAAAAAGAGTGCTAAAATGAAAGATTTAGTAGTAATAGTACTACTAAAACATTGGTTGAAAGTGATAATTACTAAAAAAGAAATGCATTCCAAAATTCAACAGTACTAGTCAGTGATGGAACTACTGTGATGTCATTGTTGATTCCATGCTGACTGTAAACCTGGAAGTGGAACACTGGTAGTATTTCCAAGAAAAACGTTTTCAGAAGAATTGGAATTTGCACAACATTGGGAAATATATGCAGTACAATCACTGTAAAAAGGACAACACTGATATAAAAAAATCTAGCAATGTTTCAAGCCACTGCTGTACAGCTGGTGCAGTTTCACTTTTGTATTAAGCCTTAGAATGAGTAGTTACCTGAAACATTGCTAGTCAAAATATATTTGTTTCTGCTTAAATGTTATGTTTTTACAGTGATTTTATTTTAAAAGAAAAAGTTGTTGCATCTACATTTACAGTAAACTGTAAATTATGTCCCTCATAGAAGCTTCCATATTGCATTTTTTAATCTCAATGCTCATTTGGGTCATTGACTGTGTTGAGCTAATGTTGATGCAACACTAGAAGTTGACTTTAGGAACAAGCTGTACCAGTGTTAACTGTTGGCATTGAAATGTGTAATGTACCCAGAATTAGCAAGTTAAATGGAAAGAATATTAAAATACAAGTTGAACCTTTGAAATGACTTCTGAAGATGGAATTTAGACAATTAAGAGATGGCCATGCATTTAAATGCTTTTTGTTAGCTTTTCCTCAAATTTTTCTTGATAAGATGTAATGTTTTTGTTCTTTTTGAGCTATAGCAATTAGAGAGATGAAGGAATAATTTCCTGATGTTTCCTCGGGTGTCAGGATTTAGGTTATTTGGTGAGGTGGGTGACTAAATCACAGATTATAATAAATGCAAGGTAATGCATAAGTATAATTTTGATGGGAATAACCTTTACATTGTTATAAAGAAAAATGATGTTGGTATTCTGATGGATTAGCATATAGCCTGTTAAAAATGATGGGGCAAGTACTACCACCCCATAGTATACCGTAACTTCAAATTTCATAACTAACTGAAATAAATATATTTTGTGAAATTAAGCTTGACCAATAAAGAGGCATAAAAGTGCAGTTGAGGCAGTCAAATGTGGGTAAATTCCTTTGTGAGCGAATGAAAATTAAGGTTATTCATGAAATGTATTCATGGCATATTCATAGAATAATTATTGGTAAAAATCAGTTAGATTAACAATTTCTAATATATAGAAAAGTCAGTGTGTTTTGGTAACACTATGTTCTACTAATGGCTTTTATGTCATGTTGCTTAGCAACAAAAGTATAACCTAATATTGTTAGTCTATGATTATGTACTGAAAGTAAAATGAAATGTACAGACAACAAAACTGAAAAAAGTATTTCTTAATTTAATCTTTTTCAATTAGAGATTTGTTCTTTATTAAAAATGTTGGTGATATAACAGAAAATAGCTTTATTCAGAAATGATTTAAGTTTAAAATTGAATTGATATTTTTACTTTAAGGATAAATTTTATGCACTTGGCTCTATGCAAGGTGATCCCACACTACGTCATTACTTTAGACTTATTATACTATCATTCACTACACTTATAAGGTTTCACAGCCCCCTTGCACCCCTGTCACTAAAATTGTTATGGGCAGACAGTAATCAAACTATTCTGTCTGGATAAATGCATTTTGGCTTTTATGACTTCTCCTGTTTCAAGAAATCAAGCATGATGTGACATAATAAATGCAAAGTAATGCATAAGTATAATTTTGATGAGAATAATCTTTACATTGTTATGAAGCTATTATGTGAATGGAGGTAAGATCATATCGGAAGTTAACATATTCTTACACTGAAAATGTATTTCCAATAGATTCTTACCTCTGCTTGCACTTCCCACTCTTCCTCCCCACTTCTGGTTTCTTTTCCTTTTCTGTTGCTCAATCTCGAAGTGAAGTTGAGCTAAGCTGCATAGATGTAGTCTAGAAGTTATGTTGCACTCCTTGTGGTGAAAGGGTGTTGCATGCTATGACACAGCTGCCTCACGTAAGTGTAAGTTGGAGTATCAAAGCTAATGGCAAGTGAAATTTTGTGTATATAGAGGGCAGTACAAGTGCAGAAATGCTATTATGTGAGAGGAGGTAAAAACATATTGGAAATACGTTTTTTCAGTATAGGAAAAGGTTGACGTTCTTGAGTGTACAGGATTTCTCTAAGTCATTGGTCTCAGGAAAACAATTTTTATAATTTTGAAACTAATCCCAAACCAGCCATGTGGCACAGATATGTCACTGACATCTTCGGTAGATGGAATTATGGGCTTCCTTATCTTTTGGTATTCTTTGATTTCCTTAATAAACTCACAGCAAACTTGTAACTACTTATTATGCACTATAACTCACATCATGCATCAGCTACTAAATGGGATGTTATTATTGTTCAACTTAAAAGAATTGCAAAAGTCTGCAACACTGTGGGTGGTAAGATGTAAACCAAGATGGAACTTCAAAAGCTTCTGTTGTTTAATGGCTGTCCATATAGTTACATTACTAAAACATTCCATAATTTTTACTTACAAGATTTTAACAAATGACAGAGAAAAAAGAAACCACCTTATGAAAGCACTATGACTCTCTTAAGGTAGCCAAATGCCTCGTCATCTAATTAGTGATGCGCATGAATGGATTAATGAGATTCCCACTGTCCCTATCTACTATCTAGCGAAACCACAGCCAAGGGAAAGGGCTTGGAAACATGATCCTTTCAAGAAACATATTCATGGCACTGCCAATCTAGACAACAAAGAAAGCACTGCTAAACATTACATTAACTCACACAGCATAATTGACGAAACACCTTATCGGATCAAAATTTTAGAGATTTGTAACCACTCTCTGGACAGGAAATTTGAAGGATTTCTTTCGATTCAATTCACATGACTCTCTATTAACAGATATGACACCTAAACTCTGTAAAACTGTTATAGTTTCATGTAAGGTTTATTCTATTTTTATTTGTTTAGTTACATTTACTTTTATCATTAGTGACTCCAACATGTTTAACAACACTTTTAGCATGCTTCACTGTGCACAGTTCTATTGTATTGTTCTACTTTTACATTCTTTTCAATTACTATAATTTAAAATCAGTTTTGTAAACTGTGAATATAAGCTATAAGTAACTTATAAAAATTCCATTAGTTGGTTGAGACAAATACAACAAAGGCAAACAATGAAATTGAGACTAAATATTTCAGAACCTGGTATCTGAATGAACTCTCCTCATAAGGAATCTTTTGAAATAGAATCTTCTATGTTGATTATAAATAATTCAGTAGCAAATGTCAGAGAGTGTGTTATTGATATCCTCTGAAAGACAGGATGAGATAGGAAGGACATAGCATGTGGGTTAGGCTTTTATATTTATACTTCAGTAAAGCAAGAAGCTTGAAGGCTATAAGTTTGCATTTTGGCTCAGCCAGTATGTACAGTGTGTGTGATTGTTGGCAACTTAAAAAGATCATATAGTTCACAAAGAAAATCTAAAATGGATATTTCAGTGTGGAAAAGAGAGACAGAATTTATTTAGATATATCCTTTCCAAATTAAGAAATTAAAAGTTTTATAATATAAAAATTTGATTTATAAACTACATTTTGATGTCAAGTTTATTGGCATACATTAATAATAAATTTATTTAATTAAATTTTGAATGTAACTGTGGAAAATTGGTGACATGCCTACTTCGACCAACTCATGTTTATAGGGTTAATGTAATAGAGAGGCTTGCAAAAGCTCATAGTGCATGTTGATCAACTACATCAATGTATTACCAATGAACTTCTGGTAAATAGGATTCACTAGGAGTCAGAGGAGGAGACTGAAAAATCAGAACAAGATGAGAGCACTGTTTTATCCCACTGTGATTGAGAAGATAAAAAGGAAAGAGCTAGATGAGGAAGCAGCAAATCTAGAGTTAAGACAGGTCTAAAGCTGTCAATCCCCTCTATGATTCATTTATTCAACATATTAATAAGAAAAAGCTTTAGATCAGTCATTTCACACTTGTATGATCAGACATGTCATATGTAAATTCAGTTTTATATAACGAATTTTCAATGGTCTCAGGCAATTAGACAATCATTAATGTCCAGTTCCTTAGTGATGTACATAGCAGTATAATGAATTCTCAAGATTTCCAGCAACATGTTCCTTTACATGATTAGACAGCCATGAAGTGTTTTAAAGTACACATATTCCTCCATGCAGAGAGGCATAAATTGGTTAATTGCATTAAATGCTTATGAATTCTCAACTTGTCTGGGAACAGTTCTTTTTAATTGATTAGACAGTCACCTATTGACAGAGCTCTCATATTTGTCGAAGCAGAAGGACATAAATTTGTTAATTACCAACATTTTTTTTATTCTTAAAAATATCACAATACTTAGAATGAAAAATTAATTTGTTATGCTTATAACAGACTGAAATAAACATCTAATTTCTGTGTGGGGATAGATTCTTCTCGCTATTAAACCAATTTGTTTTTTATGTAACACTATTATAATTATTAATGGCCTTTTTGATACATCAAATACTAGAGCTTTAGAGGGAATCAGTGTATTAAGCATTTATTAACATTACT